GCTATCTTACATGCAACATCACTTGTTCGTCTTACACCGACTCATTATAATAAATACTCCCCATTACAATTGATATGGTCATGAACCAAATATTGCTCATCTTCGAATTTTTGGATGTGTTGTATATGTGCCTGTAGCACCACCTCAGCGCACTAAGATGGGCCCTCAAAGAAGGTTAGGCATATATGTTGGGTTTGAGTCACCCTCAATAATTCGCTACCTTGAGTCATTGACGGGAGATTTATTCACTGCAATATTTGCAGATTGTCGATTTGATGAAACAAATTTTCCGCAATTTGGGGGAGAGAAAAATAAACATAAAAGTGAAATTGCATGTAAAGTTTCATCATTATCTCATTTTGATCCACGCTCCCCTGTGTGTGAACAAGAGGTCCAGAAGATCATCCATTTGCAAAACATAGCAAATCAAATGCCAGACACATTTACTGATTCAAAAAGAATAACAAAGTCACATATTCCTGCAGTAAATGTGCCTATCCGAATCGACGTCCCAAAAGGACCATCTACAAGTGCCATAGCTTCTGAATCACAAATACGCCTGAAGCTTGGTAGACCATTTGGTTCAAAAGATAAGAATCCTAGAAAAAGAAGTATAAAAAATGACACTACAAAAGAATTTCACGAAAAAACTCAAGATATGATTAATCCTGATATTCCTGAAGAGATCAGTGAACCCGAGACTCAAGTAAATGAAGAACTCTCATTAAGTTCTTCTACAGGTGAAGGGATAAGTTTAGATCGATCAAAAATCACAGTGGATAATGTTTTTGCATATGATATTTCACTTAACATTATGCAAGGGAATGAGGATCTTGAACCTCTATCTGTCGAAGAATGTCGACAAAGATGTGATTTACCAAAATGGGAAGAAGTAATTCAATCAGAATTAAATTCACTTGCTAAGCGTGAGGTTTTGGGACCAGTAGTCCAAACGCCTAGTGATGTTAAACCAATTGGCTATAAATGGGTCTTTGTACGAAAAAGAAATGAGAAAAATGAGATTGTAAGATACAAGGCATGCCTTGTTGAACAAGGATTCTCTCAACGACCTGGTGTCGACTATGAAGAAACATATTTACCTGTTATGGATGCAATAACTTTTCGATATCTCATCGGTTTAGCTGTACATGAAAATCTTGAAATTCATCTAATGGATGTGCTTACATCTTACCTTTACGGTTCACTTGATAATGAAATTTATATGACAGTTCCAAAAGGACATAAAATTCCTGAAGCATGTAGTTCAATATCTCGGAAAATATATTCAATCAGATTACAAAAGTCATTATATGACTTAAAACAATCAGGGCGCATGTGGTATAATCCCCTCGGTGAGTACTTGATAAAACAAGGTTATATAAACGATGTCGTTTGTCCTTGTATATGTATTAAGAAAACAACATTGGGGTTTGTTATTCTTGTTGTTTATGTTGATGACATTAATCTCATTGGAACTCCAGAAGAGGTTCAAAAGGCAATTGAATATCTAAAGGAAGAATTTGAGATGAAAGACCTTGGTAAGACAAAAATTTGTCTTGGACTACAAATAGAATATTTAGTAGATGGGGTCTTCATCCATCAATTTGCATATACTGAGAAAATCTTGAAACGATTTTACATGTACAAAGCACATCTATTATGTACTCCAATGATTGTCCGATCACTTGAAGTGAGTAAGGATCCATTCCGACCTCAAGAAGAGAATGAGGAACCTCTTGGTCCAGAAATACCTTATCTTAGTGCAATTGGGGCACTTATGTATCATGCTAATGCTACGAGACCTGACATAGCATTTTTTGTTAATTTGTTAGCAAGATATAGTTCTTCCCCTACACGAAGACATTGGAATGGAGTTAAACATATATTGCGATATCTAAGGGGAACTAGTGATATGGGTCTGTTTTATACTAACAAAGATAGTGCAGATCTTGTTGGACATGTAGATGCAGGTTATTTATCTGACCCACATAAAGCTCGATCACAAACAGGTTATCTATTCACATACGGAGGTACTGCTATATCATGACGATCTACGAAGCAGTCTATTGTCGCTACTTCTTCAAATCATGTTGAGATAATAGCCATTCATGAAGCAATTAGAGAATGTGTATGGTTAAGATCAGCAATACATTCTATCAAAGAAAGATGTGGTTTGAAGTGTGACGTCAAGATACCCACAATACTCTTTGAAGACAATGCTGCATGCATAACTCAATTAAAACGAGGCTTTATAAAAAGAGATAGAACAAAACACATTTCACCAAAATTATTCTTCACACATGATCTCTAGAAGAATGGTGATATTGATGTGCGATAAATTCGTTCGAGTGATGATCCAGCAGATTTATTTACCAAATCTTTACCGGCCTCAACTCTTAAGAAGATGGTTCACAAAATTGGAATATGGAATTAACCATCTGAATCGTGGTTTTTATCAGGGGGAGTAAAATACGCACTGTACTCTTTTTTCCTTAATCTAGGTTTTGTCCCATTGGGTTTTCCTAGAAAGGTTTTTAATGATGCAACAAATAATGCATATCAAAAGATATGTGTACTCTTTTTCCTTCAGTAGAATTTTTTTCCTACAGCGTTTTTTCTAGTAAGATTTTAACGAGGCACAATATCTATGGACATCCAAGGGAGAGTGTTATAAATCCATTAAATAAGTGGATAGTCTATAAAGTTAGTACATCAACAACCATTCATATTCACTAGGTTACATGAACCTTTTTAGATAAGAATGTATCTATTTATTATGATACTTAATATGGTGACCTTTCAAGTGATTTCTCACTCTATAAATAGGATTGTTCATTCACTATTGTAATATATACATATGAAACTTACATATACTTGAATATGAAGAAAGTCTTCTCCTACATCTACTTCTCTTGTCTTCTTCTTATAATCTTGATTTTACAACAATTTAATATTTTTACTTAAAATAATTTAATTTTCTTACTTCATCTCCCCCCCCCCCCCAATTATTAATTTAGATATATATATATGCATATGGAAAATATATTTTACTTGTCATTATAAATTTTTTTAAATATTTTATTTATTTATGTTATATTTGATGCATTAGTAAAAAATATGTGTGTGTACATATTTAACACAAAATAATTTTTTTTAAAAAATAGAATGGAGTAGAGTTTTTATTTTTTAATAAATAAAATAAGTTTTTTTTTGGGAGGGAGTATCTTTTATAAAAGAATTTTTTAAAAAAATTCAAGGTGATTTAATTGTATTTCTAAGATAAATATCACTTTTCTTTGTGCTTGTGGATTGTAAGGAGTGTATGTTAAGGAGGTGGTAAAATGAGATAAAAGAAAAATAATTTTTTTTTTTTTTAACTAAATGGATAATGCCGTGCAAGCACGGGCTTTAATTTTCTTTTAAGATGGATAAAGCCGTGCAAGCACGGCCCGGATATTTATCTGAAAGAGTTGGTAATTCCTATCCTATATAACAGTTTTTTCATCATCGAGAAAGTCAGCAAGATAAAATAAACGCATTTTCCTTGAGAAACATAGGAGCATGTGTGAACAAAGATACATTTGCAACGTAAAATGAACCAATTCTATTAAGTGCTTTTCAAACAATTCTATTGAGTGCTTTTCAAACGCCTCTGTTGTGCAGCAATGCTATTTTACTGCCAGTCTAATTTAGAAACAATGAGCTAGGTTAAGATGTAATCATCACATCTTCTAAAAATTTTCTTATCTTTTACGAATTCAAGAGATAAATTAGTCAAGATTTTAATTAAACACTCACAATGATGTACGTAAACTTGAAGATCAGAATTTACGAAATAGGACATCATGATAATATAAAGGGCAGAATTTCTCCCAAATTTATTTTCTTTGGTTGTTACGCCAATAGATAGTTTTGTCCAAAATCTAGGGAGGGAGATTTTAGCAGAGAATCCTACCCGTATGATTAGAAATTGGTTCTTCGAAAATACAAAAACAATGGAAAAATCAAATTAAAGAAGATACCATCTTCGCACATCAAAAATATACTCATTTTATAATTTGAAACCGTCTCCATGTATGAGAAAGACCTGAATTCATCCCTATTGTTATTCAAACACAGATAAATAAAGAAGCGACAATAATCACAGTATGGAAAAACTATGAAAGAGGCAAGGAGAAGAAAATTCACATAATGTGATATTTCATCTAAAAGTAAACAATTAAAGCTTATCCTACTCCGGAGAAGACAACAAACATGAAAGCATGAGCGAAATTATAGATGTTGTTCAGTTGTAGGCCCAACTGATACAGGTTGATGCAGTGCCTTTTTGTTTTCCATGGAATTGGAGGAGTTTGCAGACAATATAGAGGTTGATGTGCTGGCTTCCAATTCACTATTTTACGGACACGTATGTAATAAACCAGAGAATTGTAAAGTCAAAACTAACCTTACAAATAAATTAAATGACATGAAGCAGCAATGTTGATATCAATTCCACTCACTCTTCTAATATAGTTAAAAATTTAATCTTTAATTTATTATTAATAATAGTTTATTATTTAGGTATTGTCAAGGTGGAATGTTTTATCCATGTAAAATGTCATGTATTAAAGTTTTTTCAAATTGAAGAGAGATTGCATTACACACATTATTAAAGTGTGTTTCTCAAATTAAAAATTGAAAGTTAAGGTATGAAACTCAAAAAAGGGATAGTGTATGTTGTTTTTGACACTTAATCTGTAGATATTTTGCCAAACTACCACCTATTAAATGATGTCTTAAAAAATGATTTGAAAAAAATAAGTATTTAATGTTGAGGGTAAAACATGAAAAAAATTATTGTCTTTTTTTATAGGTTAAAAAGTGACATATAAAAATAAAAATCTATTTTAAAAATAATTTACAAGTAAAACTGAACGTAGGGGTATTTAATTGTCAGGGTAAATAGACACAACATGTAAATTAACTTTCAAAATTAGACAAGTATTGCTGAAAAACTATTTTTAGTATTGTGGACAACTATTTTAGACTGAATTTCTGACCAAATAAATTTGTTCACATTATTCACATCATCTCAAAAATTTGCATCTCCTCTTCATAAATTCCTTTGCAAAATTTTAAGTCTCAACATAGAGAATTTTTCTGAAAAAATTTCTCCAATGTAAATCTTCATAAGTGTTAAATAGGTAGCGGCTAAAACTACACCCGTCAAGATGAACACTCATCTCTAACTTGATTCAACCATTGAACTTGACTCCATCATTGAACTTCAAACTTGGATACACCATTGACTGTGGCTCTGAATCATTTGTTAGGACCAATATAATTTGGTGTTAGCGGAAGCTAGCAAAGCAAACCTCAAAAGACCACGAGCAAGAAGACAAACAAGAAATATACAAAAGACAAAAGATTTAATATGATTTCGTCAATCAACTTACGTCCAGAAAGGAGATGAGTATATAATAGGAGAGTACAAAATATAGAGAGACATAACCTCAACCAATCACTCGAAATAAATGGGAGGTTCGCACAAGAGATAACATATCACTTGTGTCCACAAATTCTCCCTCTAACTAAAACTCTCAAAGCCCATATGATTTAATTGTGAATATTAATTAAATTAGAAGGAACAAGACTATTTATAAAGTTATAAACCTTTTCCTACAAGAAAAAAACTAGCCAATTTAAATCTTTCCCTAAAAGAAAAAGTTATTTATGGTAAGAACTTAACAAATAATAACCAACAACTTTGACATATTGAAGAAGAATAAGAATAAGATGTTTGATCCTTTTTGTTTTTGAATCTCATTTTGCTCGTCTAGTGGTGGATTTTTTGGCTAACTACTTTTAGTAAATTGAAATATTCACAACACAGGATTTTGGTAACCTGCTATATGAAGATAGTCTAGAATAGCATTGTCCCCTTGTGAAAAGAGTAGACATATATACACATATTACTAGTCCAAATTAACCAAAGAACACGTTCTTTTCATATTCATCCAAAAGCAGAAGAGCAGATATTTAACAATTTGAATCCTCTTCACCAAAGATAATTATACTATATATTGTAGCTAGAGCACCACATATTCTCAAAGTTCTATTATTTCTTACGCACGATTGATATGATTACGGTTATAAATTATAGACAATCACGATTCACTTCTTAATTAGTGTAATTCACTTCAATTTGAATCAATCATCTTTTAACATTAGCTTTGTAAAATTGTGTTCAATTTTTTGAGGTGTCTTCTAAAACATTTCGAGCTAAAACTAATTAAATTATCAAATAATTAAATTTTAAAACATTGTCTTAACATTTAGCTTTTTTTAAAGAATAACAATCACCACAATATTGATGATTTAAACTTATTTTTGTAATTAAAGTAATACAAAATGTTATACAAGTAATACATGATATTCTAATTGGTATACTCAATCAGATGAAGTTTTAATTCTATTTTAAACTATTTTTACTACTAGAACAATTTTAATAATTTATGCAACGAATGACTCAATTCAAAAGTTTTCAAAACTATAGTTTCTATGAATTCAGTTAAGGTATAAGCATTTGTGGTGTTATGTAACACACAATATATATATATATATATATATATATATATATATATATATATATATATATATATATATATGTCTATTCGTGTCTTATGAATTATTAAAAAAAATATTGTATTGCTAATTAAAAAAATAAAATTTCGAATTATAATTAACTTCTTGTATATTAATAAATAATACATGAGAATAAAATATATAAGAAAAAACATTAAATAAAATTAGAAACCCTTTTCAAAGTTTTATTGAAACTCTACTCCTAAAAGAAACGCTGCAAATTATAACAATCAAAGAGTGTAAAAAATTATGCTAAATCAAATAAGACAAGTTAGAAAATTTTAAAAGACATACCATCGTGGAATCAAAACCAATTGGTGATTGATGAAAATTTTCGTACGAAATTAGGATCTGGTAAATCGATAGGGAGCACTTGAAGCCTTTTCTTTATTAAGAATTCAAGAAACCTAGCCAATTATTTTTTGTTGATAATAAATAGCTTTATGCTGAAGCTAGACAATGAAAAATAAGGGAACTTTTATATATATAATGGGTTGGTCAAGTTTATCTTTTACCTAGTATGCATAAGTGTTGTCCACTTAATAGGAAATATCCCAATCATCTTTGTATCCATCATTGAGGTTCATATATATATATCTTGAAGCAATCTAATTATTTTTTTGGAAAAAGATAATTATAATACAGATACTTGAAATGAATTTTTAATTGACAACTGCAATAAAAAATCTATATTTATTTAAAACTTTAACAATCAATAAACAAAGTCTTATAAGAAATTATAACTCATAGTTACAATTTTATCTAATTTATAAACATAAAATGAAATGGCCCTTTGTCATGATCCAAACCGTCCTGATTGCACTCAAGCTAACCCTTCGGTGGGAGAACTATTACTACAACCCACTAAGCAACTAAATCAAAACTAAGATAATTATGTTACGGAAGTAAGTTAAGTAACTAAACAAATGCGAAATTCAAATGCCTAGAATTTGAAAGTCAATGTACCAAAACATCTAACAAGATCCATAAATCTAAACAGGAAGGGATGCATCCCCAAACTAAAGAACCATACAACTATCTAGAACAAATGCCTAAGTGCAGAAATGGTGGACGGACGAAAGAGAAACCCATGGAAGTCCGAAAGAATTGGCTAACTCTTGAATTTAATCAACGATCACTGAGATTCTAAGCGAGGTCAGTCAATAGTCACATGAAGATGCCCTGTACTCAACAAAATAAGAGCAAGTGCAGTATCAGTACACAACCATAGTGTACTGGTAGGTCACGCGGGTATCCCACTAGTGTAACATAAACAAGTCAAACAACATCATAATCACATGCACATATATATCAACATTTACAACATTATCAACATGAAGAATCAACAATATATTTCACATTCACCATCACATCATTGTTTCTCTCACAAAATTCAATCCCAAATAGTTAGCTTGCAAGAACGTGATAATCCGATCTCATATTTATGCCGAAATATAGAAACCGGTCCCATAGTTGTGTTGGAACATGACAACCTAATCCAGTTAACTTGTCGAAATGTGGAAACCCGATCATAGTTAGCTTGCCAGAATGTGGCAATCAAATCTCCATTCACACACCACAATAACAACCACAAGTATCATTAAGAACATATATTTACATCATAATTTAATGTCTACATCATTCATCTATCTTATTTACAACACGTGTGATCAATACTGCAATATTCATACACATACAAGTATTATAATGCAGCAAAAACATGCATACATCACACTAATATAGAATCACAACCATCACATGCCTTGAAACAACCTTGAAACTCTAAGAAACTTGATCTGTCCTTTTCTGGATTAGTTTCGCTTATTCTTGGTATACAAACAATAATAATAACACGGGAATCAACAAATAGTCGCTAATTACCTGTAATAAAATAACAATTTTATGAACCCTATATCAAACCCATGATCCCACCTAACCAATTTAGGGTTGTTTCCTGTAACAACCCAAAAATGAAATAGGTTTATCTAGATCTTAATAACTAATCTCAATTCTTACAAATAGTTTAATTAATGTGTTTGTGAGTTTTGAAGTCATTTTGATTGAATTTGAAGTCAAACGTCAAGGGACGACCAAGATGTTCGATAATTTGTCCTTATGTGCTTGCACGTATTTATTTATGTATCATGAGTTTATGAGTTCCTTATATGGTTAATAATAGTTTTTTAAAGGCAGCATGTTGAGTTTGATAAGGTTTGGAGGTCAAACATCCAAGAACGTCTAAGACGTTCAAAAGTTAGACTTTGGACGTCCTTGTGTGTTAATATACGTCTTAACATATTTTATGTGTTTGCTTGTGATGAATTTGATTTGAGATGTTCCTAAAACCTAGAAGTGTATGTTTAGGGAACCAACGTCCGGGAATGACTCAACCTAGGACCCACATGAGTCCCTAGAAGATGACCCCAAATTCATGGGAGTAGACAGCCTGGCAGTGGCAAACCACGACCCCTAAACGACGTCCAGTCGATCAGGAGACAACTTTTAGATGGGAGGCATCGATGGAGCCTTAGATCCTGCAGTTTTGGGAGTTTCAGACCCAATCAACGTACCCCAAATGACAGGCTTTGTCTAGTTGACGACCCGTCGATGGTAGGGCGTCGATGGGCACTGCAATCTGCCTGCAAGTTGCTGTCAAGCTTGGGGGTGTTTTGGGAAATTTACCCCAAGTCTTATAAAATAGAAGGACGGTTATTTTAGGTGTGTATAGGTATTTTAAGAGTATTTATATCATTATGATATCATTTAGACCATAGCCCCTAGATTAAAACCCTTTCCCTCCCAAGGTTTCTCCAAAAACCTCCATGAGAGCTCAAGGTGAAGATGGAGCTTGATGATGGATCTTCAATGTAGTTTCTTATTCAATTATATTAGGATTTTTCTAATAAGTTATGAGAGTTCTTCATCTAAGGCTTTCTATCACCTCAGAGTCAATTTCAAAGATGATTTTCATAGATTTCAAAAAGATGAAAAAGTCCAATTTCTACTCTAAGTCTTGGGTTCTTGCATGAAACTTTTTCAAACATTAAGAATGATATTATTGATGTATAATTTTTGTTTTCCAATTAAAATATCCATGTACCCTTGACCTTCTCAAATCTCTATATTTGGTTGCGCTATGGGTGAGGTGATCGTATGGTTTATAGGCTGTCTGAATTTGATTATATGAGTACTGTATACTCTTAGATTCATTGTATGTTTAGATTATTGGATTGAATTGGTGACCATGGCCATTCGTAAGGGTCTTTGAGTATTAAGTTTGTTGATTTGGCTATGGATTGAAGTTGTGAGATTAGATTGGTGGTATGTTGCCCTAACTCTCTCTATATTATGTTGTATAACTCTTATATTATAATGATGATTGGTATGATCCACTTATGGTGGCGGTGCTTATGTGTTATAATTGTGAATCAACGTGGCCTTGTCGGCATTACCTTATGAACTATGATACTGTTATGTATAACTTGGCTATGAGATCGTTGTAAATGTCGTGATTACTTGAGTATACATGTGAAGTTAAACTATGTGTTTTTCTATGTATTTATATGTGACTATGATAGGGAATAGTGATGCCTTGTGAGTGTAGAATTGATGTCGAAGTGTGAATCATCTTACATGACTACATGAGACTTATGATGAGATATGTTGATGATTCTATAAAAGTGTGTAGGATGACTAGTTAGTATTCTTAGTTGACCTATGTGCTTCTTGAATGATATGCTATGTATGCAATGGTAAACTATGTATGTGTCTTGTTTAGGTAGATTTGTGTCCTTACATCATGCATGTAATATGTGAATACGAATTCTTGACTTAGTATGCTAAAGCTTTTTAGTCTTATATGTGTGATTGTCATGTGACCTTGAATATAGTTAAGAATTTCCTTTATGTGTAATCTTTTAGAAAGAAGGTTATGATATCCTTGAAGTTGAAAGCCGTAATTGTATCCTAATTGTGTGAATGGTGGACTTATGTTTGGTTTGATGGAATGACATAAAATCATCTTTAGGAAAATCATTGAGTTATCTTCTTAACCATTGTAGGTAACCTTAGTGGACCCTCTTTGGTAAGGTGTAATGTGATTGGGTTGTGAACTTGATATGGAACCCCTTCATATACTCCTTTATTGAAATACTCTATGAGAAAAAAATCTAGCACCGAGTGAGTATGGTAAGGGGAGTAGCTCTAGTTAGGCATGAGGCTGAGTACAAATAAACCCTTCATATTCCTTAACCATGTGCCTATATGGGATGTGTCTTTGTTCTACCACTGGCAAGTAGAACAACCTCCATCGGAGTAGATTATAACTCCGAATTCCTTGCTTAGCTACCATGGTTTAGGTCAGTTATTGCCTATTCTCATAATATGGGATACATTCTAGTGTTGGACAAGTTCTATGAAGTTTAGGTAGTGGTATGGGACACTATCTAGACATTGCACGAATAGACTTGGAAGAAGTTAGAGCCTATTTGGCTCAGCTTAAAAGCTGGTCAAACTGACTTAAAAGTTGGTTTTTGACTTATTTAACTGTTTGGCAATACTCAAAATAACTTATTTTGAGTTAAAAAAAACTTATTTTAAGCCAAAAGTTAAAAGCTAGGGTAGGGGTGCTTTTTTTTTTAGCTTATAAGTTGTTTTAAGTTGACCACATTTTTATATTTTTTCCCTTAATATTTTTATAAAATCTCCAAATTATCCATATAACCCTAACATCTCTTTCTTCCATTTTCCATTTTCACGTTTGCCATAACAACTTAAGCACTTTTATCCAAACGCACAACTGCTTATTTTTAAAAATAAGTTTCAGCACTTTCAAAACTACTTTTTTAAAGAAGCTTTTACTAAGCCCATCCAAACGGGCCCTTAGTGTGTGAGTCCCTAGGTCTTCACCAAGAACATTATATGATCCTTAAGTGTTGAATGTCTTCTAAATGACTTAAACACTTCAATGAATTAAGTTAAAACTTGTTAATTTAAAAGGTATCAATAGAGTAGCTTTGAGGATTTCTTAGGTAGGCTTGGAGAAGGGGTATGGGAGTTCTCTTCATGTTTTATTTAGGTGAGTCTTTGGGTAATTCATGGCAGGGAGTCTAATTCGTAAAATGGGAATGATCTTATCTTAGGTAGTCTAAAGGATCTCTTTGGTGTGTCTGAAGGGATTGTATGGGCGGTCGCTTCATAACTCACTCAAGTGAACCTTAGAATAACCTTTGGTAGGAGGGTCTCATGTTTATGTCAATTGGTGTGACATGTGATGTATTGGAATAACTTACTTTAGGTAGTCCTAGGGATCATCTAGGTGTGTGTGAAGGGGTTGTATATGAGGATGCTTTGTAACTTACTTAGGTGAGTCTTAGGATAACCTTAGTAGGGGATTCATGTGAGTATGCCCATGTATTTTGATGTGGTCTTGATGTTATT